TTACTGCATGTCCCTGGTCAACAGCTAATTAGCAGTAAACAATTCCAGCTGAGGACACACTCAGGCGGACGGTCATCCGGTGTTTCACTGTGCGGCAGGGAGCCCACTCAAGGGCTGGATGAAAACCATGTGAACGACAGGCGGTTTTTCAGAGCAAATACCGATCGCGTCCTTTTTCAAGCACCACATACTTCAGTCCAATGTGTCTGTATAAAGTACCCTTCTGAACCAGGGGGTGCCTTCTTCAGTATCGGTCACATACTTCAAAGATATGGAAAATTCGCACTCACCACCATTCGGTCCCCAGCCACCTTGGTTCCCACACGGTTATAAGGCCCAAGGTCCCGCACGCAGAACTGGCAAGGTCGCGGGACGCGGCGTCACGCCCCGCACCAAGCGGGACGGGTGGAACTCCGAACGTTTCCACCTCTTCAGGTTGTGTGGGAAAAAAACAATCCCCAAAAGGGTTTTAACCACTGACTTGGCTGGTGTTTGTTTGGGGTGCAATATAGTTGATGTTGATGTCAACTCACGATATAAATTGGACCACCAAATTCAAAGGGCCCGGATGCATCGGGATACCCATGGGTAGGGGTCCCCAAAGAGTATTCGTGGCATGGTGTCCAATACATGTTCTACGTGGGGATCTACTTTTCTATCTATTTATTGGGTGTCTATATATATTATATATCTATATAATCCCTGGTGATAGATGGGTTGCATCCCGATTTCATAGAGCCACAATCACCTGGGATCATATAATATATATATATATACAATATATAATATATATATACAATATATATATATACAATATATATATACAGTACGTATAGTTGACATTATGATTCAGGATGATGCAGGTATTTTATGTTTTTTCTGAATCAATCAACGTATTGATTCAGGTATTTCAGGTATTCAGGTATATTCTGATTCAGGATGATTCATTATCTTCAGGGCTCCAATTGGCGTCGTTGGAGCCAGACTGGTGCTGGACTTCTGGAAGTTGGAGGTCGGTGCCCAGGTTTTGGAGGGCGGAAAAAACCCAAGCCGAAGTGGATCAGTGGACCTGTTTTTCCTCCAGAATTCTTGCTTTTTGCTGTTGCATGCTGTTGCTTTGGAATGAGTTCTTCCAAAGCATCAGGTTCTATTGAGTCTGCATTCTGGGTGACCTGTCGTTCCATAGCTCCCTGGTTGCCTGGTTTGCTAGCTGAGCGTAGACCTGCGGGACGACCGGGCGTCAATTTGACCAGGAGCCGCAGCGTCGGTCATGAACATTTGACCCGGAAAACCTCCAAGGTGCGAATCAAACACGAGGGATGAACTATGAACTGAGGTGAACTATGCCTTGGATGGCCCTGGCATCAATTGAACAAAATCATCGAAGACCTGTGCTGCACAGTTCATGAAAGTGGATGAAGGACCATCGGCAATTGATGCATCAATGGGCCGGACGCCGATTTTGACAAAGGCCGGTGCCTTGCACTTCTACTCAAACACAAACAGTGAGTTAAATCTAGCAACAGATTCTCCAAAAAAAGCCTCTTATACCTTATATCCTTTAAGAAGACTCCTTAATGCTCCTTATTCTGCTCTTTTACGGGCCAACACTCTTTGCCCCCTTTGGGGAACACCTCCCCCCAGCCCACCTCCAGTCTCAGGTTCACATCGTTGCTCACGAAGCGACCCCGCCTGAGCGGCCCGTGCAACCCCGCGGAGCGACCCGCGTCCGGTCGCTCGGTTGGACCCTCCACAGCCACCCCAGTCCCACCGAACCTGAGGTTCTGTACGACTGGATCCCGACCAGGTCATGTCCAAAGTCTAAGTCGAACATGCGGATGCCCTGGCATGTGGATTGATGACAAAGAATGAAACAAGCGGAGGGTCTTCTGCGCCCAAAAGCGGATGACTGGCATACCATCTGAAAAATGTCGACGGAGGAGAACTGGATAGAACTGGGGAAGACTTCTCGTAATTAGTGTAGATAATGCATCAGCCATAATTACAAAGCTATTGTTCGTCCAAGTGCTCATCCAACTTTTTTGGACGACACTTGAAGGTGCCTCTAGCAATATAATAGAGTCATGATCTTTGGCCAACGTACTGCGTAACTCCCAGACATACTGCGGCAGGCTTGCAACTACGGGTTGAAACTCTTTTATATACGGAAAATCCACTGACAGTGAAACCATCGTTTTCACCACCAAAACTCTGGTTTTCCTGATGGTTTCCTGTATATAGACTTTTTACTTTAAAAGTACAGTAATTCTTTCACCGACCCCAACATTGGGCCACCCGGCCCGTCCGGGATCGTCGATGTGATCTCCTGGCCAGCGGAGAAGGATGGCGTTCGTATTCGTCTGCACCGAGCGTCTGTGTTTCACCCGCATATCTCAGAATCATCTCAAAACGCAAGGACTCTGCTTGTCGATCCATCCACCAATATCACTACAAGTACTTGTTGATGACTTTGTCGATGTTCACATGCGTCCTATCAATTCTAAGCAGTCCACATCTTCAAACGAGTCCAGGCATCTTACTAGACAAAGGATCCAGGGTGTTGAAATCGATGCTTTTATTCCTTGGAAGCACTGATCGCCTTGAGCCTACTTGGAACAGCTGTCACTCTTTAGGGAAGGCACACAAAGCACCTTTGGTTGGCTGGTTGTCCAAAAAGGCAGGTTTTTTGTTGCTTTGCTTATGCGCCATGCGCCTGCCACTCTTATCCAATATATAGCCATAGCCCTTTGGTGATACCAACATGCTCCCAGCCTTGATCTCTTTCTTGATCTTGCTCACCTCCTGCGAGGCAGTTCGGCCACCCCTGTTCCCACGCACCAACGTACTCATTTTGGTGGATGCTTTTGAAGTTGGTGGTCTTCAATGCCATGGCCGTCAAATCAATTCTGCCTGTATGCTGCTTACAGTATGCACAAACGGAGAACACCAACAAGCTTCTGAAATCAAGGGGTGTCTCGGTAGGTGTCTCTGGACATCGACCCGTGAGCACAGCGTCCTGACGATCTGCTTCCTGGCCATTCAGATCGGGGAGTCGGGACAGGTGCCACCATTTTGGATGCAACATGATGCAAATGGATGCATGTAGCAGGTGTGTTTTTTTTTCCACAGGTTGGATGCTCTCATTTATCCATACGCTTCAACCAAAATGGGTGACGATCTCCATTGGAATGAGTTGACACAAATCAGGTGTCCGGTGTCCAACAAATTGTCTTTACATACTTTCATGTTGCAGTTCGGGATTGTGGATGAAACCCTCTTCATGCTGCACACAGTGGGGAACACCTAATTGTCATGCACTGCGGTTCTTCTTTTCCTGCTGGAATGTAGAAAGTCACAATTGGCTCTTGAGCGCCAACACGCTAAATTGCTAAACCAGCAGAAACGGCAGGAAAAGGATGACACCCGGCAGTGAAACCATGTGAAACCTCGACATCCTGTTTCAGATTGGTTCAGCTCTTGTTTGATTGTTTTGGCTGCAGAAGAAGCTGCCGGGAGTACCGGAGAAGCAGTTAGTTGCTGTCGTTATTGTTGCCATGGTGGCTTACCTTTGTTGCTTCCGCATGTGTCCGCTGCGTCAAGGGATGAACCGACCTTTGTATCAATGAATAACTCTGTTGACTGGGATCCTGATCGTGTCTCACGCTGGCCAAGTCTTGCAGTGATCTCTTTGGTCGCCAAGGCTATCATGAAAGTGGAAAACCACCTAAGTTTGGAGTTTGGAGAGGAAACATGGCCATCCAAATGGACAATTGTCCACTTCCATGTAAGAATTGATGGATCATGAGTCCTGTTTTTGCACTCTATCGCCCTTTGGTCTAAAAAAGCCGTGACCTTCGGATTCCGACGCCTCTTTCGATGGTCCCTTCACACCTTTGGTCCCTTTCGCGGGCGGCCTCGGATACGGCCCGTGCGTTCGGACGGACGTGGCACGTTCGATTCCAGATGAAGGCTCAAGACCCCAAGAGGTGGTTTATATGGACCCCTGAATGTTATATATATAAAGGACATCTATAGGGGTCTGTGCCATCTACTCTGAAATCACTGTAAAAACAGTTTCTTCAAGGATCAGTGCAGGAGCCCAGTTCGTAGCGTTCTTGTTACGAGGAGTAAGGCCAGGAGCCCCTAATTCGTAGCGTCCGATCGCTCCTAGTAGCGATGCCAGGAGCCCCTATAGTAGCTTCTTGTTCCTATTTCAAGAAGGAAGACCTATATGGGAGTATCCTATTGGAAGACATTTCACAGTACCCCACGCTTCTTCAAAGGCTCAAGGACCCACATTGGTCAGAACGGGGGTCGTTTGAATGACGAAAAGGCTCCGCAAAGGCTGGATGTGACCTCCGGCCATCGCCTCGTCCAGCTGCTGATCCCTCCACCCCACTCGCATCCCGCTCGCCACCCAAGCGCGCCCCGCTTGAGCCTTCGCTTGGCCGCATTTCGAGCCATCAGTCGGGGACCTCTGCCTATCTGCAGGCCTGGGCTGGAACCAGTGAGCGGGGACTGGTAAAGTGCCAAAGAACTCCAGTGCAAAGAGTTGCCGGAATCTGGAAGGCAACAGTGTCCTCTCAAGCACTTGTCTGAACCACACATCGAAATGAAACCTAGGCTGGCTCAGAATTGTGTCAAGTGTGCAATTTGTTGGGTCCATCGTCAGGTTGGCAAGTTGTTACAACAAGTGAGGACATTACACAATTCAACTAGGGGCTACCAAAGGGGTAACCCTGCGTCTGTGGCTGATAGGTGAGCCAGCCAAGTTGTGTGGGTTTTTCACCGGGCCTGTCTGATCTAAATCCTGGCCCTTAATAGGCTTCCAATCTGAAGTCATCTCCGGAATGAAATCTTAACTCAACATGATCTGAATGTGCGGCATCCTCCCACCATCGCACGCATGATCTGAACTTCCCACCATCTCCAACCGAAAGGCACCGCCCCACGCACCGCCCTACGTCACATGCTGCTGCTCCCAGCTTTTTCGGTGTCTTTCATCTCTTGGGGCGCGGAACCCCTCGGAGCTTCCTGCCAAATAGGGCGGGGGAGGAAGCCCAATGGTGGAGCTCCATGCCCCACCATCCACGACCCCTACTGGAGGGCAGTATCAACAGAAAACAAGTTGCTCACCTGCTGCAGTTGTCTACCTCGCTGTTCCGTTTTCGGAACAGTGACATGGCGAGCAAAAATCATGGTACAACCCTCCAAGATCTCCAAGCATCATGGAAGTGGAGAATTCGCCCCCCAAAAAAAAACTTGAGGCCAGAGGGGGTGAACGAAAGCTAGCCGGGCTTCCGGTGGTCTGCTGCTGGTGCTGCTGCTGCTGGTGCTGCTGCTGCCGCTGCTGCGCTGGGCGCTGC